ATTTTGACTATAGGGAAGCAGCTTAGGAGGAAGATGGAATAAATCAGAGACTCCAGTTTTCAGATGGACTGAGAGGCCCTCCAAAGTACAAGATGCTTGTGTGCCTGGACTTTATCACTGTTGGGTACCTAGGAGTTTCCAATCCATGCTCTCCCACACTCAAGGATGTACCTGTGGCTATTTATGGGTGGCTCCAGTTACAGCCACCAAGGACATCAGTCCTGAATTTGTAGCTTCAGTAGCATGGGACTGGTACACGTCAGACCATTGACTTCTATAGCATGGGACTAATACAAGCAGGGCACTGGCAAATGTTTTTGATACTGTTATGAATTATAATAACATAACTTTGTTTTCTGATGGTCTGAGGCCAGTCATGGGATAGGGTCATTCATTTGATTCCCCCAAAGGAAGCCCAGACACACAAAGTTGAGAATCACTGCTCTAAACTAATATAAATAAATAAATACCACTTGAGAAAAAAATTGAATGGAATTATTCAGCACATGAACATTGAAAAATAGAAAGAAAAAGCAAGAACTCATTTAAAGACAATGGATTTTAAAATGATACCAATATTTGATGGCTCAGAATGATGAAAATATGTAGAACACTTAGCTATAATGAATTAAAATGGAGTAGAATAGATACCTCGTTAATAGAGAGAATGCCAGTAATAAGACACTGTAACATTTAGTCTCAAAAAACAAACAACCAAAAAAATTCTGGTCTGTGAGTACTGTAAGCAAACACATGGTGTTATACTCATTCACCAGTTTCCCAAACCACTAAGCTGACTTAACTGTGTCAACCAGGATTGCACAAATTTGCCTAGGAGAGATTTCTAATTGGAAATTGAATAGTTAGTAGTTGAAGCAATCCTCCATAAAATTTACAACCATCAATTCTGTGTTTGTTCATTCACATGGAAAGAATTAACACCAGCAGGGAAACTGTAGATAGAGAAAGTCATTCATCATGCCCACCAGTCCATAATAATGCAGACCCCTGCATCTCACTGCCTCCAACTTCAGTCAGTGATCTTGCTACCATCTCATTTGTTTCCCCCTGAAGTGTACACAGTGCACTCTTTCCTCCTCTTCTGGTCTGAAGGGAAAAACCATGCTTCAAACATAATTCCTTTCCTTTTTCTGCAATGGACAATCCACTATGTGACTCAAACAAGTATTATTCAGAATCTGTGGTGCTTGCTGCACAGTCACACGGACTTTGTACAACGACACATGTACATGGAGAGGAAAAAGTAATAAATTAATGAAAAGGAGAGTATGCTACAGGTAAGAACTATTGATGATGACATAGGTGGGAGCTCATGCCTGTAAGTGGAGTACTTGGGAGCCTCGGGCAGCATAGACTACATAGTGAATTGCCAGACTGCTTGTGTTACAGGGTAAGACCTTGTCTCAAGGGAAAAAAAATTCTAGGGACCACTGTTTGGCATACATCTGTGGATTTGAAATTCTTGAGGATGAGGCAACAGGAGGGTAAGAGTGAGGTCAATATATGCTACAAGGAGATCTTGATTAAAAGGGATTATCAAAGCTTTCAGAATAATATATCCTTCTGCTGGGTGTGTCCTCTTATTTTGATTTCTTTTTTGGGGGAGGTTCTTGAGACAGGATTTCTCTGTAGTTTGGAGGCTGTCCTGGAACTAGCTCTTGTAGACCAGGCTGGTCTGGAACTCACAGAGTTCCAACTGCCTCTTCCTTCCAAGTACTGGGATTAAAGGTGTGCACCACAAAAGCCCAGCATTTATTTTCATTTTCATAGCTGCGGTCAAGTTTTTCCTTCACCAGTATCTTTCAGACTTGTCCCAGAATGGAGTTAAATTGCTATAGCTGTCCACTTCTGGGTGGTTCATTCATGATGTTCAGAACCATCAGTAAACCTGACCCTAATATCTGTTACTTGGTCAACCAATCTTAGGAAAGGCACTCTAATCATATAGGTGTGTACTTGGCAGCACAAGGCATTGGAACAAGAGGAGGAACCATGGGCATTTAGGCAACTACATCATGTAGCTTGCTTGTGCCATCAGGACATGCTTCGGGAAGATCACTATATACCACTTCCATTTGACAAAAGGATGCTGAATGTCCTACTTTATGACTTGATGGGTCCAGTAACACGAAGCCATTGATGGACAGTTCAGGTCACATGGTTGGGTGGTGGCCTACCATCAAATATTCAGTTTTTCCCAGAAGCTGGGATTAATAACATGTGCCATATTATTTGTCAAACATGATTCTATGCTCAGCAGTGGCAGATACTGAGGTGACTGTAAGAGGTATTATATGGTCCCAATTCTCCAATGTTCCTTTTCTTTAATTTTATTCTGTTTTCTTCTCTCTTTCTCTTTCTCTCTCTCTTTCTGTGTGTGTGTGAGTGTGTGTGTGTAGACAAAATACCACAGGCTTTAAAACACACATTGATCATCTTACCACTGTGTCCATATTCCTAGTACTAAAATAATGCACTACCAGACAGGTTAAAAAATAAGTTTTATGGTGTGAGTCTCCTCCTCTTTAATGGTCAGAAAGGCCAGGAGATGGTGCCAGAACCCTCATACTGGCCCAACAGATATTAGTGAACTTCTTTATGTCCTGGAATTTGAAGCTGGAAGCTCTGAAAGATTTTTCAGTGCTCTTAACTGCTAAGGTATTTTTCATCCTAAGTTTCCTATTCTTGAAAATGTTTCCAGTCTAAGGCAACCAAATCTGGGCCAAAAACGTGATGTTGATTTAAAAGTAGAAATCTCCTCCATTTGAGAGAATTAGCCTCTGGCATGGATGAGCTTCCTGGCCATTCATTCAAAATAAAGTAGCCAGTTCCTTATCCCTAAATACACAATCAACAAAAATGTAAGCAGCAGGTTGTTTTCATGTATGTCAACATACTAATTCACCCATAATCAACAAGGACCAACTTGGAATGGATTTGGGGAAGGGATACACTGAAGAGATAAATATGGAAAATGATGTATCATCTTTTAATAAGAATTTATTAACATTAATTTTAAATAGAAAAGAGGGGCCAAATGGAAGGCTCAGAAATTTAAAGCAAATAAAACCACTGTTTTTTTCTTTTTGTTTTTACATTCCCAGAACACATGTGCTAGCTAGCCATTTGCTATGACTCCAGTCCCAGGTAACTCCTCCTTCTTTTGCCCTCTGTAGATAATGTGCACAAACACACACAGGGAAACACTAAATAGCTAATTCGTTTTTGAAGTTCGAAAATGGAAAAAAATCAAATTCTCTGCATCGATGTCACAGCCCTGAGGCAGACAGCAAGCCAGGGTTATTTAAAATGAACTTGTTCTAGTCTTACAAGGAAGCAGCTGTGGCCATCTGTCTAGCCAGGTTGCTCAGTGGCAAAAGTAGCTTTGTTCTGAGGTTAATAGAAGTCATCATAATCCTTCATCAAGCAGAGTATACAGTGCTAGTAGGTTATTTTCCTTCAAGTTTTCTGTTTTTTTATTCTTTATCTTTTATCTATATGAATTTTGCTGTTGGTATTCTGGATCAAACATCACAATTGACACTCTACTTTTCACAGTGTCATTTATTTAGTTTTGTACTAAAACCTTGTAGTACAATATGAACATGCCTGGGACCTTTCTTTCCATCATTTTTATAATTCATATAGATTTGTGCATGACTTTGAGGAAAAATTGCCCCTAAATGTTTCTGCTTCTAAACTGTGATCATGCTCTGGAGTGGAATTGTTAACTGTGAATGCTAAGAAGAGAGAGAATAATTTATGAACATGTGGAGACTTCTTAAGTAAAATCACCATGCTTCCTTCGTTTGGGAAAACATTGTTTTGGAATCATGCCCATGCTGTCCTTGCCTCCTCCAGGCAAGGCAATCTTCTCCTGTCTTCTGTCTTGTTGGTTCGGATGACTAAATTTACAAAGAATTGGTTATACCTGAGAGGCATTTTACTTAATTGAAGGTTTGCTTTTTACTATTGGAAGGGCAGAGCTGGAAAAAAT